GGCGGCGGCAACGGCGGCGGCGGCGGCGGCGGCGGCGGGCGGGGGCGGGGGCGGGGGACGGGGGAGCGAACCATGGATCGAGGCAAGACGCCACGCGTGGAAGCAGACGGGAGGTTCGACTGCTGGATCTGAACGTGCAGTATTATCCCTGCAAAATCTGCGGCTGCAAGTTTCCCAGTTACTACTTCGTGCACAAGCACCGGAAGCTCTGCCACGCGAACGACGAGGAGAGGCAAAGCGCCACGGACGGGGCGAACGCGTCGAGTCGTGACGCGGACGCGTCGTCCACCCAGGATGCCCCGTGAAACGAAAAGACACGACTCCCTTTCGCCTATTCGCTCCTCGATAGGTAGGTGTTGAGACAACGTGTGTATACGTATCAAAGCTTAAATAACTTAAGCTTAATACGTATCTTTGCGGAATAAAACATTCAATTTTTTTTTACTTAAATTGCCTCACATATGTAAAAAGAAGAAACTCTATCCTAATGTTAAATAAATTCTTCTAGATTTTTGCTTTATCTCATCCCAACGTGAATATCCATCTATGGAAAGTAGAGAAGAGACTTCGCTCGAGAACAAGAAGAAAAACCCTTCACAGATGGAACTCGAAATACCTATCGATATTTGTGCGTGTATCGAATTTAATTGCGAATAAAATAGATCAGAAAATCAAATCGGATTATTAGTAGAATATAACAGATTGGATATTATGTTTAACATTCAGCATTAGAAATGTGGAAATATGTCAGATATATATAAATTATTAGAAGACAAGCGTCATGCACATCGAAGGAGAATTTATACAACTATCAATTTATTTTAAGCAGATAACACCCTCGTGTTTCTCCCTTTATGTGTACTCTTTTCTCTCATTGCATATATCTTGATGTCATGCACATCGCAAATCATTTTGGTACACACTTCCAATATTGTATCAATAAATTGTACAAAAAAAAAGAAAAAAACGATAAAAGTCTACGAGATAGTCACATAGTCGATGTAATCAAATCTTCAATAGTTATAACAATGTAATGATGTAAGCTATAGTAAAAAATAAAAAAGAATACTAGTTTCTCAATGTAAAATAGATCTACTCATATACAAACTGTATTTCAATGTTAAATTTGAATTTAAACATAAATTTAAGCATTATTATCCTATTTCATTCGCTTTATACAAAAAAATTTAAGTTCGTTATAGACAAGTTCTATTTCAATAATGTATATATATCAATTTTTTAAATGTAAATAAGAATTAATAACCTAATAATGCTAATGCAATATACCAATATATCGAAAATTATTATTTAAACTCATAGGAATAAACCGCAAGAAGAGAAATTATATTATTAAATATCCAACCGCTCTCCCATCGTAAAAGCGACATAATGAAATCAATAATAAATGCTATCCCGGAAATATATTGATAATGGAATAAATATGATAATTAAAGATATGTTATTTTGGACGGTTTATAAATTAAATTAACCTTTGAAAATTCGCGATGATTTAAACAAATTTACATCAATCGGTAATTCCTTTTTTAATCGTCTCAATTTAAGACAATGTACTTATATATATATATATATATATATATATAAGATAGCGAGAAAATTGTATCGATACAAATGTTTGGAAAACACATATATAGAAATCGAAATATTTAGATTAAGATCTGTTAATTGGATCTGTTTCAGGGCTCAAAACAGATCCAATTAATGTTAAACAAAAGTAGGAAATATCAATCAGCTCTAAACTTACCGATGACGTCGATCGACGGTGCCTCCTCGTCGCTGGTCTCCATGGGAGTATGATTCTCCTTCTTCTTGTCCTTTATTCTACCGCTAGCTGCCACATTAGCATTACTGCTACACGTATCCCTGGAACCCGGTTTCTTTTTACTGGACTCCTTAAGATCCGACTGAATGGTCGAAACGTTCGTCGCGTTGTTCAACGAAGACGCAGACGATGACAGCGCGCCTTTTCCTTCCATTCTGCAACATGAACGTAAATAAATTAAGTTTTCTTCTAAATAAATACAAGACGCACGCAATATAAGTGTAAACCTTGTGCGCGCTCGTGCGCATATTAAGCAATAATTTATTAAACTTTCTGTTTCAATCACTTCGATCTTTCCACAAAAGTAAAAAGTACCGTATCATAAAAAAAGAAAAAGCCTTTTTTTCTTGATGAAATTTCATTGATTCCGTATGCCTTAAAGAAGCAACGGGGAATTGGACACTCGTCATTCTCATTGGGCGGAATCACATTTCCAACCATCGAGTCAATTACGATGATGAGAGCCTACGTAAACATAATCCACTAACCGGTAACCATTGATTAGCATTACAATCTGCTAATAATTGATCTCTCCCTCCCCCACCCTTTACAGGCCGTCGCCACCGCCGCATCCACCTACCCCACCCGTCACCCCTGGCATATTCCCTTCGCTTCCGAGGCCTCTTTCCATCCTTCAACGGACTTACTCTTTTTCTCGATTACTGCGCGATCGCCGTCGATAAGTAAAACTTATCTCTATAAATACAGTATTGTTGAAAGAAAGATAGATTAAGTTCTTTTTTGCACGCGTTTTTGTAATATTTGTGCGCCGCCGAGCGGCGTATTGTAATCGTTAAATGGGTATTCGCGGGTCGTCTCTCCCACCGTGGACAATATTGAGATTGGTTCGTTGGAGTGGGATATGTTTGCGGAATGAATATCTTCCGGCCGATGGATACGGTTCATTCAATCAGTCCGCATACGTGCTTTTATATAGATCAGAATCGGGACCAATTGGTATGCGCGTTTCGCAAAATGAGCCACGCAAATTCTTTTATTTCTTATTCGCATATTGAAAATGATTAATATCGCGCTGCGAACACTTGACAAAAAAAGAAAGGTAAAGAGTAAGAGATATTTATGTGATAACATTCATACGTTCGCGTACGTTACAATGCACTTTCTGATGCGTTCTATACGCTATCTCGATAATCCTGAAATCTAATTGACTATTCGATATAGACAGATATCCATTTCTATCAATATCTATTAATTTTAATCTCAGTTCAATTTATTCTTTACTTTTCTCCAATTCTTAACATTAACAAAAAAGATAAAAGTAAATTAACTTATATTCAAATGAAAGAATCTATAATTAATTATATACAAACTTCAAATGCATATTTCAATTATATACATAAAAAGATTGTATATAATAAGGAAAATAGGTAAAAATAAGTAAAAAGTCGTCACACGTACATTACTTTAACGTCCTTCCCAGACGCAGTCTCCGATTGTGGTTCCTCTTTCGGTTCTATCTTTATAAGATGAGATTCCTTCGAATCGACTTTATTCTCCTTATTTTCCTTGCTGACTTCCCTGGAATCCTTCGCGCTGGACGTCGTCGACGTCGTTGAGACGCTCGATGTCGCGGTGGTGTTTAGGACAGATGTCGTTGTCGTTGTCGTTGATGCCGTTACGGAATCCGTCGTTACGCTAACGCCCGACGTTATCGAGCTTAACGGAGTCGTCGTCGTCGTTACCGTCGTGGTCGCGACAGTCGTCGACGATACGCTCGATGTGACTGTGGTGCTCGTTGTGGATGTAGACGTAGCCGTTGTCGAACTGTTCTGAGGATTTTCCTGAGTCTTCTGTTGCTGTTCCCGCTGTAACCTCGTCGTTACGCCTGTCGTTAAAATATCTATAGGTCCGATAGTCGAGCTGGTATTATTTACCTAAAACAATCACAAAAAATATTTATCTCACACGATATTCATTATCAAGAACTTGATAAACTTCTAATAATTTTTATCTAACTTCTAATATTCCACATGATTATATACACTATAAATATAGTAGAATATGCTTCATTTATATTTATGTGTGACTAATGTAGTATCAATGCATTGACATTGTAATATAAAAAAATCGTAATTTTAAAAAATAATTAACACATTTTATATCTATTTTTATGGATGACTGTAATATGACTTACTTTATTATTCGGATTATTCCGAGAGCTACGCGTTCGTTGACGCGATTTTCGTAAAAGCTGTTTATAATTCTCTGCTTTCTTAGTGAGGTAGTAGTGATGTACACAATCTGGAACGGACTTATGTTCTAATGATTGAGCTATCACTCCGTAATTCTTAGGGTGCTGAAGGTATTTCTCTTTGAACAATTCGTGCTCCACGGAACTCCATACATTGATCAGTTTACGTTCACTATGTAGAGCCTCTAATTCTTCTGGTTGAAGCAGTCCATTCCGATTCTGGAACGCGATCCTTCGTTGCTTCGCGTCCAACAATAGAGGCGGTATGACTGCATACGAACGCATCTTTTTATCCTCCATCTGTCAGAATTAATATTATATCCAATATATCAATTATTTCTTTGCAAAATCAATACTATAAAATATTATTTATCAGTATATTCTCATAATTCGTAACTTTTTTTTATTAAGATTTAAATAGTTTGTAATATCAAGAATATTATTAAAAAAGTTGTTCTTATACTGACAAAATAAATTGATGCACGTAAATGATGTTTCATTTAAGATGAAATGTACATTTTAACATTTTTATAAGCATTTTTATTTATAGTAATATTTATGCACAAAGAATATGTATTAACTATAATGATTTTTAGCAGTAGTTATGGATCTAATATATTCTTCTTTCCATTTTTGTATTATACCAGTATAACTTTTATTCATCAATTTCATGCATTTTTACAGCCAATGCATAACATATGATCCATAACTAATGTATGGTATGAGGTAAGGGTGAAGGGAGCAAGCGCACGTTACTAACCTGACGAGCTTTAATGGAATTTTTTAAATCTTGCAATATTTCTTCCTGAGGAATCAGTAAAAGTTAGATATCTTCCATGAAGTATCATCGCAAAGATATATCTAACACAAATTAATCAAAAAGGAAAACACAAAAAAAACGCAGAAATGAGAAATATCTTTAAAAGAAGGCCTTTTCAAAAGAATTATAAAGTAAAATATTAATCAAAGAAAAAAATTTCTAAAGAAAATTTTAGATTTAACGCAGTACCGATTGTACATTCGAAAAAGCTTTTCTATTGGGCATTATGAGTCTGAATCGATTAAAACTTTATTATCTCGCGCGTTTTTTAGTCCGATGGTAACTTCCAATCATCTCCATCCATTTATCATGTTTGCCATCCTTTCCCTGGTCAGTATACACGAGAAGACCAAGAGAGAAAACAAATGTCTAAAGATAGGAAGAAACTGTCAGTTACCATCCTTACTAATCAACTAACAAACTCTCTTTATTCCTTTGATGTAAAAATAGCGCTTTCACAGAATTGCTCTTGAGAAAAACAAAAAAAAAAAGAGACATAAGACAAATAAAAAATAGAAAAGGAAATACTATCTAACCTTTGCTGAGAATATAATGCAAATATTATCTGCATGTATATTTCAGAATAAATATTAAAAAATACGATGGCACAAAGATCAGATTTACTCAAAATATATAGGTTTAATTACATTACTGTTTTTTTTGCAACTAATTAATGATAGCTAAAATAAAGATAATAAACTGCGATGAATAGAGAATTGCACAAGAAAATTATTAAAATTATATTAACCCTAATATTTCTTGAATATATTTTTTCATATAATTATATATCGTTTTTTGAATAACATATATTTGGACAGTTATATGTATAGCCAGTTTTATCTAACAATAACAACAAAATAAAGATTTACACATTGAAATTTTTATTTTTTATAACTTGAAATTTTTAACCGGTCATATTGAATCATGACATAAGCGAGAAAAAACACATTAAGATTTCTTGCATTTGTCATTTGTATAAATAAGGAGATATTTGGATAAAACAACTTGAGATCGCTTTAAGGCAATTATGAGAATAAATAGAAACTATCCTTTTCCTTCCTGACAGTCAATAGTTGTAAAAGATACATGAAATAAATCACTTATTCAGATAGAAAGATAGAAAAATACATGAAATACATGAAATAAATCACTTATTCAGGCAGAAAAATACATGATTTGACAGCTGTTG